AAAAAAAAAAAAAAATAGAAAAACTAGCCAAGCATTATAGCAGGCGCCTGCAGTCCCAGCTACTCGGGAGGCTGAGGAAAAAGAGTCATTTGCACCCAAAAGTTGGAGGTTGCTGTGAGCTATGATGTCACAGCACTCTACTGATGGTGACAAAGTGAGACTCTGTCTCAAAAAATAATAATAATTAAATATTATAACATTTTTTAAAAAGTAATTGAAGCTGATTCACCAACCCCCAATCAATGTATAATAAATTCTACTACCAAAATCACAAATTACACAGTATCACAAAATTGTAACTACTTTATTTTCAAGTTAACTCATCAAATGTTTCTTTGGAAGTCTACATACCTTGGTTCATAAGCTCCAATAGGAATAGCTGCAAGGTCAAAGGGTCCAAATCTTTTTCCTATCTCTTCAAATGCAGTGCAATATCCAGTATCTCCTGCAAAAAAAAATCGATTCCAAGGCCCCAAGACAGACCAGCTGCCCCACAGAACCTTGTTGTCATCCATTAGAGTCCTTTTACACCAGTGCTGTGAAGGTGTAAAGACAAAGGTGACCTTATCATGTCCAGGGACACAATTCTCCTCCCACCAGTCCAGCTCAATCACATTCTCACAGCCACACTTTTGCATCCAGTCGAGGAGACCCAAAGGCACAAACCATCTCAACTCGTTACCAAATCGCTCATTCAAAGCAATGACAGAACCATAGTCCAGATGGTCATAGTGGTTGTGACTGATAAGGACCGCATCTATCCGGGGGAGTTCGCTTATTGTGCATGGGGGCTGCCGAAATCGCTTTGGACCCATATACTGGGATGGTGAAGCGCGAGAGCTAAAGATGGGATCTGTTAGAAATATGAGCTCATCCATTTCCACCATCACCGTTGCATGTCCCAGCCACGTGACCCTTAAGCCAGCTTCCCGCACTCCAGCTTCTTCAGGATCAGAGACGAAATATGGCTTTAGCACTGGGAGTTCTTTGTCAAGTTCCTATATGTATTACACAGAGAAAAAATAGCAGTCAGGAAAAAAGATATTAAATCATCACAGACTATATTTTGACCTACATTATAGCAAGAAGGGCTATTTTGGGAGAACTGAAGTCATTCAATAAACTTGCTATTTTACATTTTCCTTGAAATGCACATTTAGCTATTTTGAATCTATCTTAAAAATCATGATAACTTAGTGATTTTTTCATCTCTAAGGCAATAGGCAAAAAGAAAAGTAAATTTAAAGCAACTCTGAGTCCTGCCAAATTTATTAAAAATTATAAAGGCTTTCTTTAGTAGTGGTGGAAGTAGACTGGCCCAGATGCAGTCACTTTTATATCACTATTTCACTCAGCCGGTATTATCCGCTGCTGAAAACTGCCTCAAAAGCAGGTCAGTCCTTGGAAACAGTAAAGAAAACTTATGACCATTTATTTGTAGCTCTTGGAGCTCAGATGTGACTCTGACCTTGAATACTTATAATTCAAAGTAGAGCACTGTGATGATTCCGGGCAAATCACAGTCAGAGTCATAAACGGTCCTGCTCATTCCTTAACCTTCCTGTTTTTTACCATTGATCAAACCAAAGCGAAATGTGCTCCCTGCTGATGAGAAACTAAACATTTGGGGAGAGGGTGGTAAACAAATGTAAAACAACCATAACAAAGGGCAATAAGTATTATTCCTTGATTATTCTACATGTTATACTCGGATTAAGTTAGGCCAACAAAAAACTATGCATTAGGACCACAGACCTAGGCTCGGCGCCTGTGGCTCAAGTGGCT